CTGCATACAGCCCTTCTGCACACACCACACACCTGCATACAGCCCTTCTGCACCAGACACCTGCATACAGCGCTTCTGCACACACCAGACATCTGCATACAGCCCTTCTGCACTCAACACCAGACATCTGCATATAGCCCTTCTGCACTCAACACGCTCCCTGAAGCCCTGCCCGTGGCTGGTGGGATGCAGGCCAGCGCGTGCCCACATCCCCATTCCCACACTATCCATTCCTCACACTTGCACCCCCAACCCCACCCCATGGCACTTGCTCTGCCCTTTGAGCCTGCCGGCCCAGATCTTGGAAGCCATTCTCTGTACCACTTCTCTGTCCCTCTGCAGCGGAGAATACAACCCAGCTCTTCAGATCTGTGGCCCGCGTTCCTGACCCTAATCAGTTATTCACTTCCCTGACGAATAATCCTAAACCCCTCCTCTTTATGTAGATGTGTGTATTCTACAAATCCCTTTCCACCCTTTGTCTTGCTTGACCTGCACAGACACTATGGGTGTGTGTGGAGGCGCTGAGCACAGAGGTCCTGGGGCCTGGTGTTTGGAAAAGCGGCCTCCTGGGAGGCCAGCAGCCACCAGGGCTCTGTCCTGGTGGGTCCGAGTCCTGCTGCCCACAGTGAGATCACAGGGTGCTGCTATGGGCTGCCTCCCCCACCTGGCAGACGGTTGTCCTGTTGTGTCTCTGCAGACATGATTAACAAGCAAGACTGTAAGTACGGGGATAACTGCACCTTCGCCTACCATCAGGAGGAGATTGACGTGTGGACGGAGGAACGGAAGGGCACCCTCAACCGTGACCTGCTCTTCGACCCTCTAGGGGGTGTCAAGCGTGGTAGCCTCACCATTGCCAAGCTCCTCAAGGAGCACCAGGGCATCTTCACCTTCCTCTGCGAGGTACCCGCCTGCCCAACCATGTCACCCATCCCCCACAGTCCCAGGCACTCACCAGGCTGAGCTGTGCCCTTGGGCTGGCCGGCCATTGTGGGAGTTGTTAGTCCTGGAGACTGTGGGTGTGGTGAGGCGTGGCCCTAAAGTCACTAGATCCAGAGACTGTCAGAAAGTTAGGTCCTGGGGATCCTGTTAGAACCTAGATCCTGTCTGGCTTCTCATTCTACAAAGGTGAAAACCGAGGCCAGGAAGCAACAGTAATCACCCCATCTGTTCTTCCCTAGGAACCCACAGTGTGCCAGGATCTAGATCTTTATTCATACTTTCTGGGCGGCTCCAGCGCACAGATACTGTTCTCATTTATTGGTGATGCTAGGGTTTGAGGTGAGGTGGAGCCTGAGGGCCATATGGCCAAGTCAACCTGAGCTGCAAGCCCCAGAGCCCAGGCCCACCTCCCAGGACCAGCCACCACTGGCAATCTTTAGGGCCATGCTTCCTGGGGCCAGGTAGACCTAGAATCTTGTCCAGTGTGGTCCCCAAATGGGTATAGTGAATTTAGCCTTAGCTGAGGTGTCTAGAGCAAGGTGTCCATGGCCTGCCTTTCCACATCTTCCTCCGCATGTGTTCCAATCTGGCTGTGCCTGCTCTGCTTCCAGCCAGCGACCCAGCTATACCATCCCTCCCAAATTTCTGCATTTTTCCCAGGCCAGCTCTGATCCCAGTAGCTCCATTGAGCTTTCCAAGTGTTAAGGTTTTTGGGTTTTTTTTGAGGGGGTATTGAGACAAGGTCTCACTAGCCCTGGCTGGCCTGGAATTTGCTATGTAGACCAGGTTAGTATTGAACTCACAGAGGTCCACCTGTCTGTACTTCCGAGCACTGGGATTAAAGGTGTGCACCACCATGACCACCAGCCTTCCCCAGTCTCGAGAGTACACTTGGCTCTGTAGCTCGTTGAGGGTGGAGACAATGTCATGTTCATCTTTGAGAAGTAAGGGCCTGGGTGGAGGGGGTTTGGTGGGGCCCGACCCAGCCCGAAATGCTGACCTTTCGAGCAGAGAGACCTGTACTGTCTTTCCTGAGGGAAGAGTTGGCTTGGCAATCATAGCTCACGGCCGTAAGACAGGAGCTCCTGAACTCATGTCTATCCTTTCGTGACCTGCACAGTGAGCCTGTGGGAAAAAGGAGGTTAATTATTCACAGTTGCAGTTGAGGAAACTGAGACTCAAGGGCGTGGAGTAACCCCCTGCCCCAGGCACTGGAGCTGTGTGACCCGAGGGATGAAAAAGGAGAGCTGAGGTCCAGGGCACCTGGGGGCCAGAGACCTGAGGTTCCCAGAGCCTGGGTTATCTTCCACACTCCCCACTACCTAAGACAGGGCCTGCAGGAACCGGTTGTCTTTGCCCAGATGGCCATGCGGAGTTCTAGCCCATCCCCTCCCCAAGTGGCCTTGTGAGGGTCCCAGCCCATCCCTCTCCCTGGACAGATCTGCTTCGACAGTAAGCCCCGGATCATCAGCAAAGGCACCAAGGACTCCCCATCAGTGTGCTCCAACCTGGCTGCCAAGCACAGCTTCTACAATAACAAGTGAGTCCTGCAGCTGGGGAGGGTCCTTGACAGATAAGGAAAGGCCTGGGCCACAAAGGGACAGAACGGCGACACATCCACCCATAAAGGGCAGGAACCACGTGTGTTGAACACTTAGTCTTGGGTATCTAATGGTGTGTTGAACACTTACCGTCTTCCAGCGTTGTCCTGGGTATCTAATGGTCTCAGCAGCCCTTTGGGGAGGGAGTTACTGCTCCCCTTGTACAGAAGAAGAAAGCTGAGGCTTGGGAACAGCTTGGTCAGCAGGCAGATGTGGCCCGCTGATTGGTGACTCCAACCAGCACCTTGTGTTGTCATGGTTTCAGTGTCAGACGGGATGGGAGGAGCTGGGTCCTCCATTGCCGTTTCTCTTTCCAGTTCTCTGCTCTGCCCCATCGTTCGTGATGGAGCCAGGCCCCGCGTTAGGCGGTCCCGGGTTTATATCCCAGCCTGGCCAGGGATGGCTGTGGGTTGGAGCACCAGCCCCTGCCGCCTTGGGTTTCCTCTTCTCTGAGAGTAGTGATGTTCTCACCTTGTTGGGTTTCACTGAAGTCCAGTGAGTTCCCCCACCCAGAGAAAGTGCCTCATTATCATCCTCCTGGGTGTAATTTCTCCTTCTACTCCCGGGCACTGCCTTCCCCCGACCTGGTGACAGGTGGGATGAGACACCTCTATCTGGGGACAGTTGCACGCTGCTCTGGCCCCAGAGGTCTGTGATGGGGTACACGTGAAACAGAGCTGGGACTAGAGTCTTGAGTGTAGGATCCCCTTTCTTCCTCTGCCACCCACATTCTGAGATGGGTGCCCAGGAGCAGGCTCTGGAGGGGTAGCCCCACTGCAAGGATGGAGGGCAGAGGGTGTTGGGGACCACAGTCGGCGTCACGCGCCTCCCGTATGCCCACCAGGTGCCTGGTGCACATCGTCCGTTCCACCTCTCTCAAGTACTCCAAGATCCGTCAGTTCCAGGAGCACTTCCAGTTCGACGTGTGCCGCCATGAGGTGCGCTACGGCTGCCTCCGGGAAGACAGCTGCCACTTCGCCCACAGCTTCATTGAGCTCAAGGTCTGGCTGCTGCAGCAGTACTCAGGTGAGGGACAGGCAGAGCAGGCGAAGCACCAGGCTTGGAATTGGCTGGGACCGAACAGGCCAGGGCCTGGTGGCCAGTGGTCAGGACCTCAGGGGAGTTCAGACGCAGGTGGTTCCTGAGGGCTTCCTGGAGGAGCTAGGAACCCTGGACGTTACAGGGGAGGCAGAACTCGGCTCACAGGGTGCTTGCTGCGGGGTCTCTCCCTATCTGGACCCTGCCTGGGAACATGCCAAGATAGAGATGGAAAAAGAGTGAGTGAGGCTCGGGGCCTGGTAGACTCAGACCTTGAACCCTCACCCTGCTCTAGCAACTCCACCTGCTGCCCGGGGAATGGCCAATATGGCATCTCTGCCTGAGCCTCCTTCTGTTGGTCCAGCAAGTGGATTTTCAGATGTTCACATATCCATCAGTCTAACTGCTTTACACCCTCTCTGGGTCAGGGTACCCAGCCATGAACTAATCAAAGCCCTCACTCCTGAGGACTGACATGGAGCCAGACAGGCAGTGTACAAGCGAGAACTAAATCCTAGGTTCCATTGCACCTAGGATGCATATTCTTCTCTACTGCCTGTTATAATACTTTTTTTTTTAAAGATTTATTTATTTATTATGTACACAAAAGAGGGAGCCAGATCTCATTACAGATGGTTGTGAGCCACCATGTGGGTGCTGGGAATTGAACTCAGGACCTCTGGAAGAGCAGTCAGTGCTCTTAACCTCTGAGCTATCTCTCCAGCCCCTGTTATAATACTTTTGTTAGCATTATTTGGTACCATGACGGAGCAGATAGATACTGTACACAGACAGTCAGTATCCACTTAGACTCTAAGTTTTTGGGTTTTGGTTGCTGTGTTTTCTTTGTTTTGTCTTTTTTTTTTTTTTTTTTTTTTCCCATGACAGGGTTTCTCTGGGTAGCCCTGGCTGTCCTGGAACTCACTCTGTAGACCAGGCTGGCCTTGAACTCAGAGATCCGCCTGCCTCTGCCTCTTGAATGCTGGGACTAAAGGTGTGCGCCACCGACGCCCAGCAGAGTCAATAGTGTTTTGACTTGAGTTGTGCACCATTGATGTGTGGAAGCCGAGCAATGGGAGAGGGATGGAGAAAAGTGTTTCCAGTGAGGCGGTGAGAACGGGCCTGTCTAGGGAAGGGCAGGGAATGCTCCAGGTAGCAAAGGACTTGAGGCAGAAGGTTATCTCAGGAGGTAAAGCAGTGAATGGAAGTGGGATAGAGTTTAGACGCAAGGCTCCCAGTGCGTGAGAATCTCTTGGCCATAAATAGGAATATAGTCACATGCTGCATTGATATTTTAGTCAATGGTGGGCCAAAGGACAGTGGTCCCACAGTGTTATAATGGGGATGAAGAGTGCAATGAATTATAATGAATGAACAACCCCGTTCCTAGTTTGTGGATTTGCTATACTGTATCATAATTGTTAGGGTGTATTCCTAGTTGAAATTAAAAAAACAAAATTAAAAATGCTGACTGTGTAGCCAAGAGATGACTCACAGGATAAGATGTATGCCACCAAGTATGACCTGAGTGCAATCCCCGGACCCACATGGTAGAAAGAGAAAACCAACTCCTGCAAGGTGTCCTCTGATGCCCACACACCTGCCTGCACCACATACACACAAAAGAAATAAATGTAGTAAGATGATTGCTTTTAAAACCCTGGCCTGTGATGCTGGCGCAGCCTCATCCTGTTTACAGTTCAAAGTACTGCGCATCTCCGAAAAGCCCATCATTAATATGACATGGGACTGCAGTTGGCATTACTCTAATTTTTTTATTATTATTATTATTATTATTTTTTTTTTTTTTGGTTTTTCGAGACAGGGTTTCTCTGTGTAGCTTTGCGTCTTTCCTGGAGCTCACTTGGTAGCCCAGGCTGGCCTCGAACTCACAGAGATCCGCCTGGCTCTGCCTCCCGAGTGTTGGGATTAAAGGCGTGCGCCACCACCGCCCGGCTGGCATTACTCTAAATTTGCCGTGCTTCGCCAGGAGGGGTTTTAGGTGAAATGGAGTTTCAGGATCTGATCAGCGGTTTGTTTCCAAGCCACGCTAGCTGCTTGGTGGAGAATAGAGGACCTAGGGCGTCGGTGGAGACACCAGGGAGGATGTACCTCACACCAGGGGGTGGGGGTGGAGGTGCCAGGAGGGGTCGGATTCTGGGTGTACTTTGAGGTGGAGCCAGCAAGACTTGTTGACGGGCCAGATGCGAAGTTAGAAACAGAAGGTTATATCAAGGTCAGTGCTGCCGTCCTGGTACCTAGTAGACTAGGGTTTCGTATTCTGAGAAGAGGGGGTGTGTAGGAGGAGCACGTTTGGGGGGCTAATATCAGGGTTCTGTGTGAGGTGTAGGTTCCAAACGGTCTTCTTGGACCTCAAGGAGGGATGTTGAGTGGGCAGCCAGATGTGGCAGGCTATAAGTCCAAAGGACACGTGGGCTGTGGATTTGTGTTTGGGGGTTACCAGTAAGAAGGTGATGTCAAGTGTGGCATGTGGCCCCGGGTAAGCAGGGAATGGAGAGTGGCCGCAGAATGATGAGGCAGATGGCTGGAGGGGCTGCAGGCCGGGGAGGGAGGCTTCAGGAAGGCATCAGCTGGGCCTGGAAGGCAAATAAGGATCTGATTGGTACTTTGGGGCCATCGTGCTGGGACATTTGCCCTTTGGGGGTTGGCAGTGAAGAGCCATGTACCTTGTGCTTTGGCGAGCCCTAGAGACCAGTGGCCTTGGGGCTGCCAAGCAGGATTCTGCTTGAGCCCCCAGTGAGAAAGGCAGAGAGGCTTCAGGAAGAGCTGAGCAGCTGGATCTGGGAATGGGACACTGGCTTGGGAGTCTTGTTTGTTTGTTTTGTTTTGTTTTGTTTTTTTCGAGACAGGGTTTCTCTGTACAGTTTTGCGCCTTTCCTGGAACTCACTTGGTAGCCCAGGCTGGCCTCGAACTCACAGAGATCCGCCTGACTCTGCCTCCCGAGTGCTGGGACTAAAGGCATGCGCCACCACCGCCCGGCGTGAAGATGAGCTTTTTCCCAGGGTCCTGAGTCTTATGTGGTGGGACTTCTCTGCTTGGGCCTCGTCCCAGCATCCCCAGAGTGCTGTGTCTCACCCTTTGCCAAGCTGTGTGTTTTCTTCCACCGTCCACAGGCATGACCCACGAAGACATCGTTCAGGAATCCAAGAAATACTGGCAACAGATGGAAGCCCATGCAGGAAAGGCCTGCGGCAGCTTAGTAAGGCCCTGGGACTGGCATGGGGTTAAGGGTGGGCACCACAGGAGTTGTCCGTTTCCTTTTCCTGTGATGTGTGACCTAGCAAGTTGTGCTCTTTTCTGTATTCGCAGAGTTCACGTGTTACTGCTTGCTTTGTTATCAGTGTGTGTGTGTGTGTGTGTGTGTGTGTGTGTGTGTGTGTGTGTGTGATTTTCCTATGTGCAGGTATGTATTTTCATAAACATATACATTTATATACATAGATATGCACATTGTTTCTGGGGGGTTTCTGTTTTGAACATCTGGGAATAAGTGCAGATAGTTATCCTCTTACCTCTCACCACTTTAAAAAGGTATTTTGGGGCTGGAGAGATGACTCGGCAGTTAAGAGAACTTGCTGCTCTTCCAGAAAGCCACGTTCAATTCCCAGCACCCACATGGTGGCTCACAATATCTCTAACTCTAGTGCCCTGGAATCTAATACCCTCTTCTGGCCCCTGTGGGCACTACACACACACACACACACACACACACACACACACACACAGAGGCAAAACACCCATACACATAAAATAATAACTTTTAAAAAAAAAATTGTAGAGGGCTGGAGAGATGGCTCAGAGGTTAAGAGCACTGGCTGCTCTTCCAGAGGACCCAGGTTCAATTCCCAGTGCCCACATGGCCGCTCACAAACTGTCTGTAACTCCAGTTCTAGGAGATCTGACACCCTCACACCAATGCACATAAAATAAAATTAAATTATTTTTTTTAAAAAAATTGTAGGGAGCTGGAGAGATGGCTCAGAGGTTAAGAGCACTGGCTGCTCTTCCAGAGGTCCTGAGTTCAATTCCCAGCAACTACATGGTGGTTCACAACCATCTGTAATGAGATCTGGTGCCCTCTTCTGGCATGTAGGCACACATGCAGACAGAACATTGTATACATAATTTAAAAAAATTGTAATGAGGGTACCTTTTTATAGCCACAGTACCCATGTAACACCAGAAAATTAATAGAAAGAACACTGCCATTCAGATTCTGTCCCTAAATTTTAGGTGACACCCTGTTCCATTGGCATGTCTTTTTCATGTCCTTTAATTTAGAATGCCTCCTTCATGGGTCTTTGTCTTCATGACGGACATGTTCAAAACCTCTGGTTTTACAGATAATCCTTCCTGTGGGGGTGGGGCGCCTGTTTCCTCAGGCCATGGGCTCAGCTTCCACATCAGCAGACATGTCATCTCAAGCTATCCCCTTAGTGGTGATAACTGTGAGAGTCTGACTAAGGTTCCCCTGCTGTGAAGATTCCTGCACCTACAAAATTATCTTTTTCTCTGTGTAATTAGTTACAACTTCCTGGATCAATAGGGCATGGTGGCACATGCCTATCACCCCAGCACTTGGAAGGTGAGGCAGGAGAATTAGGAATTGAAGGCCAGCCTCGGCTATTTAGTGAATTTGAGGTTAGCTTGGGCTGTGTGATAGACTATCTAACCTGCCCCCCTGCTCCTCAAAAAAACCTCTTGGAGATGCCTTGAGTCCATGTGAATGTCTGTGTCAGCTCAGGGTGGTTGGTACCCACGGATGTGGTGTTGCTTCTCTCCTGGTCTTCACTGTGGTCCGACTGTGTGAGCCCCGGACACAGTACCCCACCTGTACCATTCCCACCATCCAACCCTCCTTGGATTCTTCATCATAAAGCCCTGCCCGCCATCTCCTGCATGGGTGTGAGGCTTACAGGAGCTGTCCCCATTCTCAGCATGCTGAGGGATGCGCCTGTGGCTCACTCATGAGGGATGATCCTGTCCCCTAGGCCAGACCAGTCTGTTGTCAACTTGAAGGAAACCTGGGCTTCTGAACTCCTTATGGGGCCAGGCTGAGTGGGGGTAGAGGGGGGATCCAAGCTGAGGGGAGGAGCCGTTAGGGCTCCCTGCTCCCTGGGTCTTCCCTTTCTAGCCTTTGTATCACGCCCCCCCCCTCCTCTCTTCTCCTCCTCCTCCTTTCTCTCTGTCTCTGTCTCTCTGTCTCTCTCTCTGTCTCTCCTCTCTTCCCCTCCTCCTTTCTCTCTGTCTCTGTCTCTCTGTCTCTGTCTCTCTCCAGAAATGAGCTCACCCTGGACTATAGGATTTCTGGTGGTTAGACAAAGGCCAGCATTCCTCAGGAACTTATGAAACTGGTTCCCCTCCACCAAAAGGAGTCGTTCCCTTACCTCTGGTAGAAGGGACATATGGCTACCTGCGGCACCGATCAGCATAGCAAAGCGCATGCTGGGCTCCCGGCTCCTTCAGTATCACAAGGACCTGCTGCACATTTCAAAGTCCATGCTAGCATACTAACCCTTCTCACCTCCTCCCTACCCTAAACTCCCTCCAGCTCATGACTTCCCTCCCCAGCTGCTCATTCTCCTTAGAACCCTGCTAGTCTCCTTCCTTTCCCCACCTCTGTCTCCTCTCTTCTTTCTCTCTCTCTCCCTCCCTCTCTCTATTTCTCTCTCTCTCTCTCTCACTGCCTCTGTCTCTTATTTTTTATTTCTTTGAGATGGATCTTGGTACAGTCAGAGCTGGCCTTGAACTCAGGACCCCATTGCCTCAGCCTCTCAAGTGTGGAGATTATACCCGACTGCCTGTTTTTCTTTCTCTTCCGACTCCCTGCATCTCTCTCGTTCTTTTTGCTCCTGGCCAGGAGCCCAGCAGGGACACCTTGTGGGTAGTCTTCTAAAGACAGCACCCAGTCCTGGCCCCCTCCGTTCTTCCTCATCCTCTTCTCTTGACCAGTGGTCAGTCCTTCCAGGGCCACCCAGGGCCAAGGTGTGTGTGCCTCTCTGGCTGATGGTGCTTCACCCCTCCCCTACTGCCAAGACTCCACCCTGCCTATTCAGGACACCACCCAGGCCTAGCTCAGGGTCCAGACACCCGTGTCCAACTCAGCTGGCCCAGGCATGAGCTCTTGCCTGCTTGCCATCTAGGAGTAAAGGCAGGGGGCCACCAGGGCAGGTACTTGGGCCCAGTGCCTCTGGCTTACCATGCCATCCCCTGAAGAAGCACAAAAGCGCTTTACTTAGGAGGTGAGGATTTGCTCTGAGCTGCCTCTGCTCGGTCAGATGTAAACGATCCCTGCCCTGGGCAGTGCCTGAGGGAACCAGCAAGAGACATATCCACCTGCTAGTCTGGAGAAATGAAGGGCTGCCCCTGGACAGATGGGGAGTCTAGCAACAGAAGGGACAGAAGACAACTGGAACAAGTTAGCCAAGGCTACCTCTCATTCCCCACTCTGTCCTGGGCACAGAAGAGCAGCTCTTGCCTACAGAGTAAAGGCTAGGGCAAAAGGTCGGTCAGAATTGTGGGAAAGGAGCCTCAGAGACTAGCTGGACACTGCCCTGGAAGAGGGTCCTGAATCCAAGACTGTCTGTCCTGCTGCCCAAGGCCAACTAACTTCCCACCTCTGAACTCCTGCTCTCTACAGCACTCAAAACTGGTTGGTCAGACAAGGTACTTGAGCCATGGAGAGTGGCAGCTTTGTCATAGGAAAGCTCCAGGAGGGCCCCCTGCAGCCTGAGCTGAGTGTGTGGTGATACACACATGTATGTGCAGGGGAGCACACCAGTGTGGACAGGCCAAAGGAGGGACCAGGCATCCTCTATCACTGCCTTACCCTTCAGGCAGCAAAGTCTCTTGCTGACCCTAGGGCTTCCACTTTTTGGCTAGCCTAGTCCCCAGCTACATCCTGTCTCGGCACCACTCAGAGCTGGGGTTACAGGCATGTGCCGGACCCCACCTGGATTTTACCGAGGTGCTGGGAACCAAACTGCGGTCTCCATGCTTATGCGGTGAACACTGTTATGTACTGAGCTATCTCTCCAGCACTTGAGCTGAATTTTGAAAGACAATTTTTAGGATAAGTTGCATGAAACCCAGAGGAAGGGCATTCCAGGTAGAGGACAGCATGTGACAGGGTCGGTCACTTCCTCTTTTTGGCTTGTTTTCCCATGAGTAGTTTTTATGCAGCACAGATATGTGGGTCTACAAGACGGGCATATAAATCAAACTTTTGTGTTTAAGAAAGAGTCTCACTATGTGTAGCCCAGTATTTCCTGGGACTGACTTTGTAACCCACTCAAAATCTCTTAACTTGTAGTAATCCTCCTGCTTCCTAAATGATAGGATTACCAGCATAAGCTACCATACCTGGCTATAAATTAAACATTTACTAATGCTAGGTCATAAAGAAATGTCTTTAAAAATGATTTTTTGGTATTTATATAATTTTATTGTTTATTAAATTGAAAGAAAATATTAAGCCAGGCAGTGGTGGCACACACCTTTAATCCCAGCACCTGGGAGGCAGAGGCAGGTGAATCTCTGTGAGTTCGAGGCCAGCTTGGTCTACAGAGTGAATTCCAGGACAGGCTCCAAAAGCTACACAGAGAAACCCTTCTCAACCCCCCCCTGAAAAAAAAGAAAAGAAATTATTAATGAGATGGACATGCTTGTTTAATTTACATAAAGACCTAAGTATTGACTGAAGAGTTGGAACTACAGAATGTGGAGACAGCACTTCTTGGAACTGATTAATATTTGGTTTTTGTAGTTGTCAATGCTGAGAACATCACTGTGCATAAATATGTAGTACACAATGGCAGGAGTCTGTTTAGAACCATGTCAGAATTGTTGGAAATTCAGTACTAACCCACACCAAAATTCATTCAATAATTAAAAAAAAAATCTCAAATGAGAGCTGGAAACTCAAATGATTCAGCTCGTTAAGAGTGCTTGCTGAGGGCTGGAGAGATGGCTCAGAGGTTAAGAGCACTGACTGCTCTTCCAGAGGTCCTGAGTTCAAGTCCCAGCAACCACATGGTGGCTCACAACCATCTGTAATGAGATCTGGCACCCACTTCTGCATACATAATAAATAAATTAATTAATTTAAAAAAAAAAAGAGTGCTTGCTGCTAGCTGGGTGGTGGTGGCGCACACCTTTAATCCCAGCACTCAGGAGGCAATGCCAGGTGAATGTCTGAGTTCGAGGCCAGCCTGGGCTACAGAGTGAGTTCCGGGACAGTAACAACAACAACAAAATAGAGCGTCTGCTGCAAAAGCAGCAGACGACCCAGGTTTGGTTCCCAGTACTCACTCAGGCAGCTCACAGTTGTCTGTAACAACAGTTCCAGGCCATCTAATGCTCTCTGACCTCCATGGGCACCTGCATTACAGGCATATGACATACATAAACTCCCAGAGACACGCACACGTGCACACACGCCCATGCCTTTTAAAAAATGAAGCTCAAGTGAGCAACTCCACAGCAATAGTTTCAAATCTCTCTCTCTCTCTCCTTCCCTCTCCCCCCCTCTCCCTCTGTCTCTCTCTCTCTCTCAATGCTATGATGAAACACCAGAGGAAAGGACTTGTTTGGCTTATATATCCTGAGTCACCGTCCACTGGGGAAAGCCAAGGCAGGAACCCAAGAAGGACAGGGACCTGGAGGCAGGAGCTGATGCAGAGGCCATGGAGGACTGCTGATTACTACTAGCTTGTTCATCAGACTTGCTCAGTCTGCTTTATTATAGAACCCAGGGCCACCAGCCCAAAGATGGTACCACCCACAATGGGCTAGGCCATCCCCCATCAATCACTAGTTAAGAAAATGCCCTCCAGGCTTTACCTACAAAGATTTATTTATTTATTATGTATACAGCATGTATGACCAGAAGAGGGCACCAAACCTTATTACAGATGGTTGTGAGCCACCATGTGGTTGCTGGGAATTGAACTCACGACCTCTGGAAGAGCAGTCGGTGCTCTTAACCTCTAAGCCATTTCTCCATACAACCCAATCTTACAGAGACATTTCCTCAGTTGAAGTTCCCTCCTCTCAGATGACGACAGCTTGTGTCAAGTTGACATAAAACTAGCCAGCGCAGCCTCAAACTCACAGAAATCCATCTGCCTCCACTGCCCCAGTGCTGGGATAGGCCACCTGATGCCTGGCAATGAAAAGAAAAAAGATTTATGTTAATTGTGTATGAGTGTTTTGCCTGCACGGATGTAGGTATTGTACACCACATGCATGCCTGTTGCCCACAAAGGTCAGAAGAGGGGACCTAAAGTTATGGATGGTTGTAAGCCACCATGTGGGTGCTGGGAAGATCTTCTCTGAGAACAGGTACTCTCAACCACAGAGCCCCAACAGCAACTTTTAAAAATCAGACACTGTAACAATGTATCTCAAAGACACAGGAGTTTAGTGCTTCGATGCTGAGAGAGGACAGTAGGAAAAGATTAAAAGCCTTTGTTTTCTGTGGACCATTATTTTCCTAAAGAGCGGGAAGTTTGTATGTACTGTAAGAACACCGCGGTTCATGACATGTAGTAGTCTGGAACCCGCACCGAGGTCGGGCAGTGTTGCTGGGTGCTGCAGGCTGAGACACCATGCACAGTGCAGCTTGTTCCTATCAGGTACTCAGATTCAAGGGTTTGGTAAGGGGGCATGACGGAACAAGAGAGTGTGCTGCCAGACACACCCCAAATTCCTTGCACGTTTGATGTTGAATTAATTTCTGGTGGTTGTGTATTGTCGTTTATGATAGGTTTTTCAGTATTGCCAAATTTTCCAGAGCTCCCAAGTTCAGTTCTCTGACCCTGGATGGGTTTTGACCACATGTTAAGGAGCTATCGTGATTAAAAGCACATACTGTCTTGCAAAGGGCCTGAGTTTGGTTCCCAGCCCCATGTCAACAGCTCACACTACCTGTAATTCTAGTTCCAGGGGAATCTAATCAATGCCTCTGGCCTGCAAGGGCACACACCCACACACGTGCACAAACCCATATATATATATATATATATATATATATATATATATATATATATATATATATATATACATACATACATACATATACACATATACATATACATACATATATATATATACACACATACATATACACATATACATATACATACATACATATATATATATATACACTTAATTTAAAAATAAAATAGGCTGGGAAGCCAGATGTGGTGGCACACACCTTTAATCCCAGCACTCAGGAGGAAGAGGCAGGTGGATCTCTGTAAGTTTGAAGTCAGCCTGGTCTACAGAGTGAGTTCCAGGACAGCCAGGGCTACACAGAGAAACCCTGTCTTGGGGGAAAAAAAAAAAAAAAAAAATAGGGCTGGGATGATAGAGCATGTGCCTTGAATCCCAACACTCATGAAACAAGCTGATGGATCTCTGTGAGTTCAACTCCAGTTTGGTCTCCACAGCAAGTTCCAGAACAGCCAGTGATACATAGTGAGACCCTGTCTAAAAATAAATAAATAAATTTAAAATAAATCTTTAAAGGGAGAAGCTATTCTATGCAGTAGTTGCATAAAATAGGCCTCTAAAAAGTAAAGCTCAGTAAAGGCCAGCTGGGGAGGGCAGAAAGAGACCCTGACTCAGGATCCCTACCGCATCAGGTTCCTCTACTCAGAACTCAGAGGGCCCTGTCTGTCATTAGAACCGGGCAGTTGACCAGCTGATTTAAGACGCAGTGGTCTTAGGCTCCCAGAGCCCTAAGGCCTGGTGGCTCTGGCGTCATCAACCCACTCTCTGGTCTTCCGATAGGGTGCCCCAAGGACACACGGGCCCAGCACCTTTGACTTGCAGATGAAGTTTGTGTGTGGTCAGTGCTGGAGGAACGGGCAGGTGGTGGAGCCAGACAAGGACCTCAAGTATTGCAGTGCCAAGGCCCGGCATTGGTGAGCAGGCATGGGGCAAGATGGGCGACTCCTAGCGCACCGTGGGGGAGGAGGCCAAGACTTGGGAGACCAGGGCCCTGAGAAAGGAAAGAAGGTCTCCTAACGCTGAGGCTTCCTCTCTGATTCTCCCCCACTGACTCCCATCTTTGACCTACAGCTGGACCAAGGAGAGGCGGGTCCTTCTGGTGATGTCCAAAGCCAAGAGGAAATGGGTGTCGGTGAGGCCACTGCCATCCATTCGAAACTTTCCACAGCAATATGATGTGAGCACTTGAGGGGTGGGCAGTACATGAAGTTGTCGGCCTTGGGAGGCTCTAACTGGCCGATGACGTGGCCTTGTGGGACTCAGCAGGCTTTCCTTTGCCCGCCCACAGCTCTGCATCCATGCCCAGAACGGCCGCAAGTGCCAGTATGTGGGGAACTGCTCCTTCGCACACAGCCCTGAGGAGAGGGACATGTGGACCTTCATGAAAGAGAACAAGAGTAAGTGACAGACTTGTCCTACATCGCCTCATTTCCAACACCTCCTGAATACCTGCTGGGGTCTTCCCTGCCCGACTCTGGGCTTCCTGCTGCCCGGCAGCAGGCCTAAGATGTCTGTGCCTCCCAAGTCCAGAAGGGATCATGGGGAGAGTGGACAGGGAAGCCCCCTCACCAGGCGCTCTGTCCCCTCCCAGTCCTGGACATGCAACAGACCTATGACATGTGGCTAAAGAAACACAACCCGGGCAAGCCAGGAGAAGGGACGCCCCTCAGCTCTCGGGAAGGGGAGAAGCAGATCCAGATGCCCACGGACTATGCCGACATCATGGTAAGCCCTGCTGCCCACATGCTGGGCCAGGGCCAGGTGGGAGGGCCAGCCTGGAGGGGCTGAGTGGGGGGCAGAGCTGCGGAAGGTGGCACCCACAAAACTGTGCTCCCATGACTGTGCCCCCAGATGGGCTACCACTGCTGGCTCTGCGGTAAGAACAGCAACAGCAAGAAGCAGTGGCAACAGCACATCCAATCCGAGAAGCACAAGGAGAAGGTCTTCACCTCCGACAGCGATGCCAGTGGCTGGGCCTTCCGCTTCCCTATGGGCGAGTTCCGGCTCTGTGACAGGTGCTGAGGGAGGGCAGCGTGATGGGGCAGCATGGGGGGGGGGGGAGGTAGGACGGAGGTGGGCCTGAGGGCAGGGGTGATGTGACCAGCTGCATCCCCTTGCCTTGGTGTACCTTGGATATGAGTACAGGGTGGCGGGGTGGGCTCAGACCTCTCTCTCCCTCCTTCGCAGCAGGGGTCAGGTCCTAGAGGGTGTTTGCTCCTGGGTCGGGGGTTCCCTGAGGAGCTGGGACCAGAGCTGTCTGGGGAGCTGCACGTCTTAGGAAGGTCGAGCGGCCCCAGGCGGGAAGGCGTAGAGCTCAGGCAGTGAGACTTCTGCCCCTCACAGGCTCCAGAAGGGCAAGGCCTGCCCCGACGGGGACAAATGCCGCTGTGCCCACGGACAAGAGGAACTCAATGAGTGGCTGGACCGGCGCGAGGTGCTGAAGCAGAAGCTGGCCAAGGCCCGCAAGGACATGCTTCTGTGTCCGCGGGATGACGACTTCGGCAAATACAACTTCCTGCTGCAAGAGGATGGGGACCCCACTGCTGCCACCCCAGGGGCCCCCACTGCTGCAACTGCTACCGCCACCACTGGGGAGTAGGGCCAGGTCTCAACTGTGGGCAGAGTTCTGGGGTCGGGGGTGGGCTGGGGACAGAAAGCCTGACAGAATGGCCAGGGCAGGTTAGTTGAGGGCAGGGGACCACCCCATCCGGCAGCCTCCAGTCCCCTGGGTCCCTGTCCATCCTTTCCACCCCCAGCACCCCAGGTGTGTGTACCCAAGGGTCCTTGTCCTGTCAAAATGGGGGCGGCCCCTCCCCAAGTTGAGTTCTCCTGGTTGGAGCGGGAGGGGCCTGGCTGACCTCTCCAGCTTCAGCCTACAGCTTTAACTTCCATCTGCTCCTAAAGGGCTGGGGAGCCTAGGGTCCCCACTTGAATCTGCAGCAGGAGGGTCCTGTTCCCTTCCTACCTTCCCCTTCTCCCCTTCCCTGGGGGCCAGATCAGGACACAGCAGAGGGCGGCGGGCAGCGCTGGTTAGCTTCAAATACAGTTGCGAGATGGAGTTGGAGACACTGTACTGGTCACTTACCACCTGGGGCCTCAGTTTTCCTGCTCTGTGAAAGGGGCAAGGGCGAAGGTAGATGATATCTGAGGCTAGACCAAGGGGTCTAGGTGCTCTAACAACCATCCTATACCCAGCCATCTTTGTGAGCCACTCTTGTAGACGCAGCCCAAGCCCTAATTTACAGAAAGGAAAACTGAGGTCTAGCAGGAAGAGTGGTTTGCCCAGGGTCTCCAGCCCTCGGTTTGGTGCAGATCTGGGATGTAAACATTGGTCAAAAGACCCCACCTATTAGCAGCTGGAGCCTCTGGGCTCCTCAGCCGCATGCAGCATGACCTGGGAATTAGGGGAAGGCTGCTGAGGCCAGAGCTGGTCTTGTCGGCATCCTGTGGGGATTTTGTTGGGTGAGCAGCAGAAGTTACATTTCCAGGAGCTTTCACAGAGAGGTGGGAGAATACAGGCACCGTGAGCTCAGGTTCTGCACAAGGTCCAAAGCATGGGGAGGGTCGGGGGGGGATATTGAGAGCAGGGAGGTGACCTGGGATCCATGGGCCACTATGGGACATAGCCTCTCTTTCCTGGGGACCTACTATAGTCTTCTCCAAAAAGACCCAAATATACTGTTATGCCTGTCTATCCCAGCCCCATCCTATGCCTAACCCTGCCAGCTGCCTGGGACCCTAGCTGACCCCCAGCCCACGCCCCCACCTACCAAGGTCTCTTACCGTCTGAAGTGTGTGTACACCCCTTCATCCCGCTCCCCATGAGTAGACACAGCCTCCCCTGGCTCCCCCCAAAACATTCCAGAATGTTCCACACCATTGGCATAAGAAGTGGGGCGCCCCCAGAAGGAACCAGAGACTAAGGCTAGCGAGGAGCGGGATGGAGTGAACACTCCTATGTTCCCCGCAGCCAGGGTTGCGGGTAACTCAGTGGTGTGATGATGGGCACCTGGGGCATAAAGGACCCATTCCTCATGGTGCCACTGCCCAGCCTTCTCCAATAACCATGGCATGCACCTTTTCCTCTCCCCTGCCCCCTTTCCCTGCCCTCAGCTGGCCGGCACAGCAGAGTTTGGGTGCTGGCCGTGTGGCTGGAGGGGAGGTGTGACCACATGCAAGGTGAGGGCCGTGGCCATGAATGTTGATGATGATACTTGTTCTCCCGACCTGTGGTGTTGCAGTCTGTCGTCACCAGCCTCGTTTCTAGTGTGTATATATGTCGCCCCTGTGATGCATATATACACAGGTATTAAATATATCGCTCTATATAATATTATATATGTGTGTGGTATCCAAGGGATCTCTTCTAATGAGGGCTAAAGATAAAGAATTCGGGGGTAAAAATGCAGACATCCTTGTGAGTTTTGGGGTACTGATGAGGCCATCTGGCTATTTAGGAGACTGAGACTGGAGCCATGGCTCAGAGATGATTTGGGCAGAAGGGACAAGATGGCCCACACCTGGCCCTGCTCTGGCTGCTAGTTTCCCACACATCCATGTCTAGAGGGGAGTACCAGTGTGCTCAGGAAAAGGACATGATTAGTGTTTGTTTCCCACCAGAGAAGGATGAGTCCAGAGTTTTCCTGTTGTTCATCTACCCAGGGGTCCTTGAGATCTGGGCTCCCCTGCATTCTACACCTGGGTCCCCCCACCCACCCCGGGATGAGAAAAGAGACAGGGATGACCTGGGGTGGGAGACAACAAAACGTTTTAAATGATGATTATATTTAATGGAAGGCTCAGAGTTGAATCGGTGCCTAGGAGACAGCTCAGAAGACATGGAGTCAGGGCAGTGGGAGTGGATGCTGCATTTCTCAGCTGGGCAGTAATCAATCTAATGGTCCTTTTAAAATGTCTGTATTAAAATTTAAGAATACCACACTTTAATATTAAATATCATAAGGTCTAGTATCTTGATAATAATGTAGATGTTTTAATAACATTTTTTGTCCTTCAAAATAAAACGAGAGAGAAACTTGCTTCCTTTAGCCTTTGTTCTAGAAAACACGTGTGTGCACGTTGACTCTTGTCCCCCAGGTGTCGCTCCTGCTGCTCCCCGCCTACTGCATGGACTCAGGGGGCCAGGGCTGCCCAGCACTCCTGGGACAGAGCTGGCCCCGGCTGCCCGTGCCTGGGGCAGACATTCCGCGGGGTGAGGGGCAGTGTCCCTGTGTACACATGGAGGCCCAGCTGACCCAGTTCAGCAGCACCTGGTGAGCAGGGACAAGCTGTGCTCTGTACAAGTGGTCCTAGGAGTCACCCTAGGAGTCACTGCCAGTTTTCTTGCAGCCTGCCTGCTCATAGCCCTTCCTGTGGGGCTGCCTGGGCCTCTTGCTTTTATCATGTGCCACTCTGGATTCTGTGCCCTTTTCGGGTGTGGCCTGTCCAGGAAGGTAAAGGGTCATGCTTTACAATGTGATCCAGACTGCAACCCTGACCCTCTGTGCCCAAGGAAGATCCAAGGTTACACGGGAAAGTTTCTTCGCCTCTTTGAAAATCTTTGAGACAGAGGATTAATATGCAGCGTGGATGGTACCAGCCTGAACTTTTATCCAGCCCTTTGCTTTCCTGAATGCTGGGCTTATAGGCCTGTGTTACCACGCCCAACAGTTTCCTCAATTTTCAAAGACTGGGCATGTCTCTGATCTCATGGGGGTGTTTTTCAAATTTCCTGAAGTGTGCTCAGCCTAGAGTGAGTGCTCACCAGACAGTCTCACTGTAGAGCCCCTGGCTGGCCTGGAATTCTTTTTTTGTTTTACCCCTCAAGACAGGGTTTTTCTGTGTAGCCCTGGCTGTCCTGGAACTCACTCTGTAGACCAGGCTGGCCTCGAACTCAGAGATTCACCTGCCTCTGCCTCCCCAGGTGCTGGGATTAAAGGTGTGTGCCACCATGCCTGGCTGGAATTCTTATTGTAGACCAGGCTAGGCTCAAACCTGCATGGATGACCCTGCCTCTGCCTCCAGAGTGCTAAGATATAAGTGTACCCCACCAGGCCTGGCTTGCCAGTTGGCTTTAAAGTACTGGATAGAGTGGCCGGGAGCAAAAGTCCTGGACCTCTGAATTCCCTGAAGACAGAAGATGCTTGGGCCAGGTATGCAGGAGGTCCTCCAACTAACACATGATGGTATGAAAAGAGGAAGACTTAATCTCAGCACTCAGGAGGCAGAGGCAGGCAGATCTCTGAGTTCAAGGCCAGCCTGATCTACAGAGTGAGTTCCAGAACAGCCAGGGCTACACAGAGAAATCCTGTCTTGAAAAACAAAACAAAAAACACAAGCCTGTCCTTGGGCTGGAGGGCAGACACATGAGCTTGCATTGGGACATTCCTTAAATCCAGGAAATTAAAGAATGAGCAGGAAACCTAAGGGGTTGAGTTAACCCAACTTGACATCCCCTTTAGTTCTCTTCTGAAGGAAGCATTACCCAGGCAAGCACCCACCTCATACACCTTGGGATACAAGACCAACCTACCCAAGAGACTAGTTTCCCCTGAGTCTGCATTCTGATTTTTACATCATAATCGGTGGGGACTTACTATTCTGCATTCTTCCCTTTTCACTTTATTTCACATCCGTAGTTCCATGTACCTTTGAAAACTGCATGTTCAGAGTGTCTGATAGTCACGCTGCGGACGACGACCCTGCTGGGCCATGGGTCTGTTTCTGCCCTGGCCTGCGTGACACTGCAGAGGAGCACTCACGTGGCACCAGTTCCTGTTCTCTCTCTCTCTCTCTCTCTCTCTCTCTCTCTCTCTCTCTCTCTCTCTCTCTCTCTCAGGTTGCTCCTTGGGGCAGATGCAAGGCCCACCAAGGACCTGGGGGCAGCTTTGTCCCTCTCCAGGGAAGACCTTTGTGGATTCTGCCGAAACATCTAGTAGTCCTTAACCAGGGGAGCCTGTACTGTAGTCTGCGGGGAAACACCCAGGCCTCAAAGGCTGGCCCGAGCCACTGGACCTGACTAATGAGCGGTAAGTCTGTATTGGCCCCTTCTGACATTGGTTGTGAGCCTGGAAGTTAAATATACCCTGCTGGCCAAGGAGAGAGAAGAAGACCATCGAAGTTCTTAACCAAGTCCTTGGAAGGGTTGACCAGATGGAGGTCACCGCTTGCCTCCAAACAGACGTAGCTGTTGTCACATGAAAACATCTTGTTCGTGAACTGGGGACAATTACAGTCGGTGAGGAATGAAGGGTAAAGTACAGGGATGGAGTCAGGACATTGATTAAAAACTTAACAGACCTAGACCGTCTACCGAGGGCTTTGGACCTTTAAGTCCAGAATCCCTGGACATGTGGACAATCCAAACCCCTGTACACCACCCTTCCAAATGTCTCCAGGTACATATTCAGCCATACGTTCTCCCCACTGCTGCCCTCCTCAGCCACCCTGGTCCAGTAGTCTGCTCATCACTCGTGACGCTGCCAGCTGAACCCCTTGAGTACAAGGCAAGGGGTGTCGGTGTGGACTTTGAGCAACACAACAATTTTCTAGAGTTAAGGCCTAAGTCTGTCGAACTATTTGCAAGATCTAGTCTGGTGCCTCATGCATGGTGCATTAATCTATCTTCTGTTGCATAGCAGGATGCCCAGGACCAGGTAATTTGTGAAGAATGGAAGCTTACTTGGCTCACAGCTCTGAGGGCTAGAGGTTCGAGAAGCCTGATGGGTCGGCAGCAGCTGGTGAGGGCCCCTGGCTGAATCTACAAGGCAAAAGAGGCGGTGCAAGCTTTCTGGTGCAAATCCACCTTCCCCTCTTTGTTTTTTTAAGATAGGGTCTCTCTGTGACCCTGGACATCTTGGAACACGCTGCATACACAGGTTGTCAGGCTTGGCAGCGAGTGCCTTTACCCCAAGCCAGACGCCCAGCCGAAGTCTTGAACCTTCGATCCTCCTTCTGTGGCCTCCTGATTAACTGTGAGCGAGGTAGTTGGTTTCTAGCTCTGTGTTAAAGCCAGTTTTGCACTAAGCCCAAGTTCTGGGGCCAGGTACCAGCTGCTGCACCGACCCAGCCCGAGTCAGCCCAGGCTGCAACCACAGTGCCACTCAAGCCTCAACGCCAGCTCCCACCTCATTCTCACCTCGGGTACAGAGCAAAGGGAGACTCGCCAGGGCTCCTGCTGGCCAAAAAAGCAGGAGGGAAGGTTCCCTTTGTGCTCACTAGACAGCCTCTGATGACTGAAAGACACAGCTGTTCAAAACAAAAAGTAACCCAAGTTTTATAAATAGACATTTGCAGAAGGAAACATTAGAAAGTTAAGTAAGAAATTAAATTCATTATAAGAAGGAACGGGGTTGAGGGGGAAGGGTCGGGGGTAGAAATGACACTGTTGAAGTATAACTTAGCGGGGTCTGGAGAGGTGGCTCATCTTGGCTGTCTACTGGACCACATCTGGAATCAACTAAAACACACGCAGGACACATGGGAGAGAGTTTATTGACTGACTCCTTTGAAGCGGGAAGACCCACCCTAAAACTGGGCCACATCTTCTGGTAGCTTTTTGTCTGCTTGCCCTCACTTGTGCTGACAAGTTCATCTACCTTGTTGCTGTGAGGCATCCCTTCAATCGTACCAGAACCTACTTCTTCCGGATTCCAAGGTAGTTTGAAGACCAGCAGCTCTGTAGGAATCCTTCAGGATTCCAGCATCAGATTGGAACTGCTGAGACATCCAGTCTCTCAAGACTGAACAACTGTCAGGTCCTTGGCCTTTCTGTCAGGAGACAGCCAATCCTGAGCTACCCAGATCACAGCCTGTAAGCTAATAAACCCACATATATTTTGTTCTAACAGTTCTGTTCCTACCAAGAACTCTAATACACTGCTCTTGAAGAGGATCCAAGTTCAATTCCCAGCACTTACACTGGGCAGCTCACTGCCCATAACTACAACTCCAGCGGATCAACACCCTCTCTGGCCTCTGTGTCAGAGATACGTCCACCCACATACACCCAGATACATCCACCTACACATAAATGAAAAGAAATGAATTCATTTTCCAAGGTTTTTTGAGCTTTTATCCATGTACTGAGATTTCTATACAAAAATTAAAAGTGTGGGGGTTGGGCTGGAAAGATAGCTCAGGGGTTGAGAGCACTGGCTGTTCTCCCAGAGGTCCTGAGTTCAATTCCCAGCACCCACATAGTAGTTCACAACTATTTGTAATGAGATCTGGTGCCCTCTTCTGGCATGTAGGCATACATGCAGACAGAACCCTGTATACATAATAAATAAATAAATCTTAGAAAAATTAAAAATAGGGTGGACAAGATGGCTCAGCAGGTTAGGGTTCTTACAGCTAAATTGGACAACCTCAGTCCAGTCTCCTTCCACAACACAGTAGAAGGAGAGAACCAACTCCCACGGGTTATCTTCTAACCCTAACATGTGCGACATGCATGTGAGTGCCCCCCACACACACACACACAGACACACACAAATACAAAAGCTAGTTTAAAGTGTAATTAGAAATAGGCAGGCATGGTGTACATACCTGTAACCTCAGCACTCAGGAGGCCACAGAAGGAGGATCAAAAGTTCAAGATTACAGCTGGTGATCTGACTCGGGATAAAGGACCTTGCTGTCAAGCCTGACGACCTGAGTTCCATCTCTGGGACTCACAAGGTGGAAGGAGAGAACCAACTTGAAAACTGTCCTCTGACCTACACACCACACACACACACACACACACACACACACACACACACACACACACACTATAAATAAATGAATGTAATAATAAAAAAAATTAGGGCGATGGTGGTGCACATCTTTAATCCTAGCACATGGGAGGCACAGGCGGGTAGATCTCTGGGAGTTCAAGGCCAGCCTGGTCTACAAAGTGAGTTCCAGGACAACCAGAGCTACACAGAGAAACCCTGTCTCTAAAACAAACAAAAAAAATTTTTTTTTCATGTGTATGAATGGCTTGCCTGCATGTATGAATGTGTGTTCCTGGTGCCTGCAGGGACCAGGGGAGGGAGGTGGAGCACCAGGAAGAGTAATTAGGATGGTTGTGAGCCACTGTGTGGGTACTGGGAACCAAACCTGGGTCCTCTGGAAGAGCAAAAAGTGCTCTTAACTGTTGAGCCAACTCTCTAGCCCGATTTAAAAAAAAAAAAAAAAGCCAGGCAATGGTGGTGCACGCCTTTAATCTCAGCACTTGGGAGGCAGAGGCAGGTAGACCTCAGGAAGTTTAAGGCCAGCCTGGTCTACAGAGTGAGCGCCAGAGATGTTACATAGAGAAACCCTGTCTTGAAAAACAAAAACAAAAAACAGGGGCTGGAGAGATGGCTCAGTGGTTAAGAGCACTGGCTGCTCTTCCAGAGGACCTGGGTTCAGTTCTCAGCACCCACAGTGGACAGCTCACAACTGTCTGTAACTCCAGCTCCAGGAGATCTGATTCCTGTAGCCTTAGGCAGCTGCACTCACAGAAATATACCCACAGCGGGTTGGGGATTTAGATCAGTGGTAGAGTGCTTGCCTAGCAAGCACAAGGCCCTGGGTTCGGTCCTCAGCTCTGGAAAAAAAAAAAGAAAAGAAAGAAAGAAATATACCCACAAACAGATACACACACCTACAAACAATTAAAAATAATAAAAATGGATCTTTAACAAACAGGGGACCCTGGTAAGGGGAGGGGATGAGAGAGGCCCTATGAAACTAAAGGAATTTAAGTGAGGGATTTGAGTGCTCGCCCAGCATGCACAAAGCCAGTTCTATTCCCCAGTTCTGGAAGAAAAACAAAAAAGGAAGCCGGGAAATCATGGTAGTATGAGCCTAATCCTAGCTACTTGAAAGGCTGATACAGAAAGATCACAAGTTCAGTGCCTGCCTGGGTTTCAGAGTGAGTTCTGGGGTTGCAGATTATCTAATCTAGAATATGTAAAAATTTTTCAGTCAGTTGGGGAGGATCACTCGGGAGGAAGTAGTTAAAGGATTCACTGAAGACTCGGGGCAGGAGTAGCCAGCAGGGGCACTGGGAGCATTTCTGTGTAAAATGGGATTCTGGAAAGCAGCCAAGGATCTTTGTGGAGATCAGCCACAGGGCAGAAACCGAGAGCCTCCTCGGAAGCAGGCCTGAAGGGGAGTTACTGTGTTCAGTTTTGGAGCTGAGCCCCAGAATCACTTTCTGGCTTGTTCAAGAGTCCACAGCCTGGCATCTCTGTCTAAACCTGACCCCTGTGGCATCACCCTTGGAGGGATGAGGACATCATACAAGTCCTTGACTTCACCCATACACATTCAGTGTCCTGGGAATCCCAGTGCACCTGTGGGAAAAGAAGGGACTATGGTGGGTGGCCAACTGCCACTTAAAGCTCCGTGAGGGCCAAAGAAGCCAGCAGTCAGTCACTCAGGACAAGTCCGAGCCAAGTTGGCAGACCTGTCCCCTTTCAGGAGTGCCCACCCTGCCAACCGTCCTAGGGATGGACCTTCCTTCCTGTTCTTTCCTTTCTGGGAGTGCAAAGAGCTTCGGAGAACAGGCTTCAAGTTCTACAGATGTAGAAAGCCCCAATTATGCACCCTACACGAACACGTCCATGTCTTACAGGGCTCACGTGCACGGCACATGTACATCCAAACACCCAACCCCTTGGGGCTCGCAAGCCCCCCTGTGAATGCATGGTGCCACTACAGTCTCTTTTATGCTGAGCTGCTTGGGTGGGGTGGGGTGGGGGGTCTTGTCTGTCATCCTTTTTTCCTGCACCTGTGATCTCAGCTCAGGTTCATTTCCATGATGTGCTCCGCTCTCCCCTGAACCTGGGCTCCAGGCCTCCCCCGCCCCTCCGCTCCTGGTATGTGCCTGTGCTCACTTGCTGTGGGCGTGGAGCTCTGCTCACCCTTCCCATCCGGCAGCCCTGGTTATGGCTCCCAGACTGGGGGAGAACTTCCCTTCGCCGAAGTTAGATAACAGGCCAGGTTTTCTGTCAGAGGATTGGCGCCGTGGCTCCACGTGCTGCCGCTGGCGCAGGGCCAGGCCCTCCCTGCCAAGCAGCGGGAAGGGAAGGCCTGGCTGCAGCCGGAGCTGGCAGGTGGCCGAGCTGGGGGTGGACAGGCGGGCTGGGGCTGGGGCTGCCCATTGGCTGCCTCGGGCTCACACCCCGCCTGCCTCCCTAGCCTGTGGCTCCCTAGCCAGCCCCTGCCTCTCCAGCTGCTTCTAAACTCCCGGAGCAAGCACCTCCTGCTGGGCCATGTCGAGCTGCAACCAGATTGGAGTGGCCCCTGCTATGGACATGCCTGAGGTCCTCAAGTCCCTGCTGGAGCACTCTTTGCCTTGGCCAGAGAAGAGGACAGGTAGGAACACAGGTGGTCTCTACCGGCAAGGGACCTAAGTGCCCGAGGGATGGGAGCCGGCACAGGGACAGCGGCAAGATGGGTGAGCAAGGGCTGCGGTGCAGGGAAGGACCCCAGGAGGTGTGTGCATGTGTGCCACATCAATTCTGGGGCTGCCCCCATACCTACTGGCTTTGGGCGCTCTGGACAGCGTGCACTACTGACAGGTGCTGGGCTCACGTGGACAAGGACGGGACCGGAGTGCCTGCAGGAATCTAGGAAGCTGATTGCTTCTTAAGCTCCCTCCCTCTGCACGTTGGGGGCGAGCGGGCGGGCGAGCGGTGGAGCCCGTAGATTTGGGCAGCAGTCGCGTCTGGAGAAGGCTTTCTGAGCCTGCCACTAGCTCGCGGCTGTAGGGCTGAACTCATGGATGGGCTGGAAGCTGGTTATGTAACAGTACCACAAGCCCCGCGTTCCTAGGATACCACAGGGAACCCCAGGGCTGGGGACAGGCAGTAGAGTGGAGTGAGTGGCTGAGGGGGTGGGGAGGGGCAGCTTGGGCAGCCGGGACCAGGTATCTTACAAGTCTTTCCTGGGAAAGTTAAGGGCTTGAACTGCTTAGCTTTGGGGAGTTGGGAAGCCAACTTGGGGTACCCTCTCCTGATATTTATGTCGCCACATCTCTCAGGCTCATCCCAGGTTCTTACTACCTTTATCAACAAAATTTTCCCACGGTGCTGGGGATTGAACCTTCTGAATGCTGAGCATAAGCTTTGCTACAGAGCTGTGCCATCAGCCCCTCCCCGTTGCCTTTAGAGGAGACCACCCTGTCTCTGCTGCTGGGGGACAGGAGGTCAGGGTACTCCCTGGGAACCTTTTCAGACATCTGTCTCATTCTGGGCTGACATCTGATACATCTCGTCAACCTGCTGTCCTTGCAGGACTTCTTCCTGGAGGGCTCTCCAAACTTTGGAGCCGGAGGACAGCTCCGGACTCCTTTCACCCTCTGGGGCCAGAAAGGGGCTTAATTTCATTAACCAGGGGAAGGCAGGACAGAGGTTCTTTCTGATCCTGGGAAGTGCTATCTGAGGTAGAGGATTTCCCCAGAGCACATGGCAAGGTCCTCAGAGGGCTCTTAGGGATCTTTGGACCAAGGCCCTTTAGACCACAGCCTGTGGTTTCTTTTCTTTTCTTTTTTTTTTTTTTTTTTTTTTTTTTTTTTTTTTTTTTTTTTTTTTTTTTTTTTTGTCTTTTTGGTTTTTTTTTTCAAGACAGGGTTTCTTTGTGCAGCCATGGCTGTCCTATAACTTGCTCAGGCTGGCCTTGAACTCACAGAGATCCTCCTGCCTCTACCTCCCAAGTGCTGAGATTAAAGGAGTGCACCACCACTGTCCAGCCTGCCTGTAGTTTCTAATGCTGGGCATTTATACACCCTCCTAGACAGGCATCACAGAAGGTGATCCTGCATCCAATTGCACAGAGGACACCAGCTGCTGACCAGGAGAAGCCCATATCCCTACATAGCCCTGAGAGAGCCCCCTGCCGGATGAGCCTCCGAGAAGGTCCATATCTGCCAACAGGGCACTGACAGCTTTCTGCTATCTCTCGGTGGCCTGTGTGGGTGGGCCCAGCTGGAAGGCTTTCTGAAATGTAAGCAGAGCCTTTCCTTCCCTGCAGGTAACTAGGGAAGATGATGTAGCACCCTCATGACCCCACCCAGTTGTTCCAAGATGCCTGTTGCTCTGCGGACAGGGTCAACTCACAGATGGGCGGGGCAACGTTCTTGGGGTTGACTCAGGGCACTGCTCGGTACAAGAGACTAACAATGCCTCCGAAGTGGGGTAGTAACTGCTGGTTACTGGCTCCCAGCTGTTACACAGAGCCTTGGGAAAGCTGAAAACTCCCCATCCCTCATGGGCAGTCAGGGCCCATGCCTAGGGGAGACTTGCCCAAGGTTGAAAGCAGAGCTTTGCCAAGATCTGGTAAGTTCTGCCTGAGGACTGGTTAGCCCCATTTAGCTGGGTCTCAGTCTTGGGTCACCTCCTGTTACTTCATGTGGCACTTCATGGAAAATCAGAATGTGACACCCCACAGGACTGACAGCAGCTTGTGGCTAACTGGGGAGAAAATCAAGGGGGAAGCGGCGGGGGGCCATGTATGTCCCGGGCAGGTGCACACCCACCACACCGAACCAGAGGCCCAGCAGTCCTGTGACAAGTGCTTTCCGAGTTCCTGTTGGGGTTGGTTCCCCCCATTTCCCACCACTCTGCTTTGGCCTCTGTGGGAGTCGGCAGAGCCAGTGGCCTGCCTTTCACCTGCACGAAAGAGGCGGGTTTCTCCTGGAGGACCCGGCAGCCCTTCCTTGCCCTTTTCTTCTCTAGCCCAGACACTCTGCCGCACAGCCCAGTCACATGCAGGGTGCAGTTGAGTTCCAATGGGAAGGAATTTCTGAGGAGAGCAATGCAGAGTGAGAAACTCCAGGTGTGCCCTCCGAGAATGCACAGCAGCATGCATGCAGCAGCATGCTCTATTTTCTAGTTCAAAGACACTTCCCAAGATCCACGTGGAGCCCCACTGGCAGCTCCGGGGCCTGCTGCAGCCGGCACAAACTTCTGCCTCTCCATGGTCCTCAAGGAGGTAGGCCTTCCTGATCAGTACTGACCACACTTGATACTCTCTAGGTTGTCTGGTGGTCCTTAATCTGAGCCACAGTTCAGCCAACTTACCTACAGACTGAGAAATCCATGAGCAAAAGCATGGATCCACTCTCCGAGCTCTGACTCAGTTTCTCACCTCTGAACCTATGGAAACCACGCTTCCTGTCACTGCTCTTGCACTTTCCCCCAAAGATCCTCCAGGGCTCTCCATCTCCTGCTCCTTTCTTCTTCAGCCTCTTGAAAGATCCTGAGTCTCTAAATCATCTGCTTAGCTTCTGACCACTGACCTTCCCTACCTACAGGGCCTCGGCTGTGCTCAATGGCACGCTCATCCATCTTTTTGTCTTCTCCGCCTCTCCAGGCCTCCCTTTACAGGAGCCTGACTCCTGTAAACCAGGTCTTCACTTTGAGCTGGGCAGGGAGGGACACTTCTGGAAAGGCAGCAAGAGGCAAAGCCTTAAACTCAGAGTCGGGATGTGATCCTTGGCTCCGCTGCCTTAAGAAAGGATGAGGGAACCTATGCCACAGGCTCGTCGCCAGGACTAAATGCACTGTCCCACGTGGAAGTATTTCAAACTGCGACAGGCCAAGAACAGAGTGGCCGGCTTGGTGGTTGCTCTTTCTACCTATAATCTGACCCTCAGTCCCTTCCTTCCTATATTGGCAATCTGATCTCCATGTCTTTATTTTCACCTTCCTTTAAAGAACTGGATGTTATAAGATTGTGCACACACAGAGCTGCTTCCTTAGAGGTGTATGGTGAGACTCCTGAGGCATGACACCATCAAACCCTAGAGGACAGGTCAATAGGCAGAGTCTTAGGGGTACTCTGGGCTCTGGGGAAGGGGCTCACTCCAGTCCTCTTGGTGAACTGAAGTAAACAGGTTTTAGGTGGACTACGTGCAGCCCGGGCTGACCCAAACTTGGTCTGAGAAGAGGTCTGTATGGTCTCACAGCCTGGGAAACCAGAGAAAGCATGGTGTTTGCTCAGGAGGGAGAAAAGGACATGGGGCCTTCTGTGTGCTGCAGATATTGTCATTACTCCTCACTTCAGTCTGCTAAGAGGTGCGTCTTCCCATCCTTTAATGGAAAATGAACTCCGAGAGCTTGGCCACCTCGGGGCAAATGGGTGAGTGAGTGGCTCTTGCCTTCCTCCTGAGGAGCCCAGGGTCTTGTTCTCTGTTCCACCCCACCCCCATAGAAACATGGAAAGCACATCTTCATCAAGTGCCAGACACCGATGGCAGTGTCAGGAGGCTCCCTTTCCAGGTGACTTTGCATCTGGCCAGACCCCAGGTGAGACTGCTGGAGGAATGAGTCTGGAGCACGCGCCACCCGCTCCTACATCGCCGTGTGCAGCGGCACGGCAAGGCGGTCTGGTTTCCACACTACCAGTGAGAACACTGACGATCCAGGGTGGGAGGGTCGCCCAACCCCTGTTCCAGGCCCAGGCCTAGCCACAGAATTCCCTGGTCTCTGAAACCATGTGGTAGTTCTTGGTCATTCAGTTATTCATTATTAGCTTGGTGAGCATTTGCTCTGCTTGTGGCTCAGGCATGGATTAGACAAACACTGTCCTTGCCCAACTGCAGATGGCAAGCCAGTGAAGACATACAGCAGTCATGGGTCCAGTTGGCCTTTCCAAGGGGTGACACTTGCGCTAAGACCTGAAAAGGGAGGCAGAGCTAACTATGTGAAGAGCTAACTCTCAGGCTGTGGGGAAGGCACCTCAAAGGCCCTCCCCTTTGTCTGTCGAATAAAAGGCCACTGGTGCCACGGAAGGTGAGCCATGGGGAGAGAAACGCTAGCGAGGCTGGAAAGATGCCAAGGACGAGACCTCAGAGGCTGGGCCCTACAGCCTGCACCTGCTTCTGCATCAGCACCAGGCTGGGGAAAGCAGTGTCAGGCAGTGGTGGTTCAGACACTGTTGTAGTTTGGGAGGTTTCTCTCCACGGCCATGGCACTCTCGGGGCAGCTCATGTTATCAAGACTCTGGGAGTGTGCAAATCACAAGCCAAATAGGAAACTAGGATTCTTGAGAGCATTGAAGGGAGAGGCAAGAATTTGCAAAGAGGCTCCGCCCTCCACTTCTACCCTAGAGCACACAGACCAAAGTACAAAGCACAGACGCCCAGTTTCCCGGCCACAGGTATGTGGGCTACAAAGGAAAGCTGCTGGCAAGGCTGGTGCTGGACACTTGCCCAATGGCTCATGCTTGTTCTTCCAGATTCCACTGCCAGCCAAATACATGACTGTTATTTCATATTAATAACACACCAAATGTATACAGTTTGGCTTTAAGATGTTTTAACCTTACCAACCCCAAGCAAGGAAAGCAAGCCAACAAATATTTATTACTGCTCT